CCCCCACACCCACCCGCACTCCCAACCCACACTACCCACATACCTAAAGAGAGACGTAAAGAAAAAGGGCCTTAAAGAAGATCTAATAAAGAGAAAACCTAGACAGAGAGAAGATAAACCTAAAAAAAAAATGATGAAAAAAAATACCACATACACAAACCCGCACTCCCAACTCACACTCCCGCACTCCCACACCCACACTCCCACACTACCAACCCACACTACTCTCATATCTAAAGAGAGACGTAAAGAAAAAGGCTTAAAAGGAGATAAGTGTTTGAAACGCCAAAAAGAATAAGAAAACTACGAAGAAGATAGGTTACTACCGCACTAAAGTGTGTGAGTGAGGTTTCTTATATATAAACAAAATAAATAAAAAATAAAATTATTTTTATATATCCTCCGCGTAGTGTTTGAAACGCCAAAAAGAATAAGAAAACTATGAAAAAGATAGATTAATAACGCACTAAAGCGTATGAGTGAGGTATCTTATATGTAAACAAAATAAAGTTAAAAATAATAAAAAATAAAATAATTTTTAAAAAAGAAACTTTTTGAAAAATATCCTCCGCGTAGTTTTTGAAACGCCAGAAGATGAGTTACTATGTGAAAAAAAAAAGTTTTCATTCGAGCTTTTTTCTTTCCTTTTTTTTTTGAAAAAAAAAGAAACATGAGGAAAAGAGGATATTTTTTAAAAAAAATTTTTTGGATGGAGAGGTATTTTATATAAAAAAATTGTCATACAAAAATATTTTTTTCCCACGGAGTTTGCGAGTTTGCTATAGTCAGAGTATAGAGAAATCAAAAATCGCGTCATGATCAAATAAATCAATAGTAAAAAAAATTTTTTTTTCTGTAAGAGATGACTCAATTGACTCATGATATTGTTGATCATGTGATCATGTGATGAAAAATAAACTTCGGTATATTGGATCATGCATAAAATTTTGAAGGTCCGCTTATAAGATTTATAAAGTATATATTTTATTTGCCATGCAAGTGTGAAAAGGTCTAGTTTTTTACTATTATTATGATGGTATTAGTAGTATTAGTAGGAAATAAATATAATAAATTCCACAATTTATACGATTATACAAATAACAATGAATTGCGTGCAAGTGTTATACAGTGTATGAATTATTATTATTAAATTTTATTTAGCACGAAACAAATGTTGCAGTACTGTGAAATTTATGATTTATTTATACATTTACAAAGATAATTTTGTATAAGTAGTTTATTGTTACATTGTTACAAAAAAATCTTTTTTTTTTTTTTATCTTAAAAAAATTTCATTGTAGCATTAAAAAAAATTACATCTTCTGCTGAAAAAAATACATATATATTGTTATTATATCTCAAAAAAATTCATTGTAGCAATCTATTGTTATAGAAAAAAATTATCTCACCAATTAATATGAAAAAAAAATTCCGAAAAAACTTCTATTATCGTGAAAGAAAAAAAAATTCTAATTATAACGATCGAGCTTTGATACAGCCCAAAGAATATTATTATTATTAATAATAAGAATCGGGAATTGTAAAAAAAGTTTTTGTTGTAAATCATTACTCTTCTGATACCAAAATTATTAAAACTTAATTATAAACAAGACGATCTGTACGATAAAGACGGGAATTTCATAAAGAGAATATATAGGAAAACCGCACGTATGGATATAGAGGAACCAAGTGAGCATAATAGACAAACCGCCAGCATAAACGAAAAAATTGACAACACGGCTGAGAGTAGTAACAACAACAAGGGCAAACAACCAGTCTTGGAATTGGGAACAAGCGACATGGATATTAACATCAACAAAAAATGAATGGCGGATACCCAGATTTCGAGAGGCTATGATGGTAGTGAAGAAAGTTAAAGGAATTAAAGAAGTTAGCTGTAGAACAATTTTTGCAATGGAGATCATTAGGTTTTCTAGCAGCTTTAACAAAATTTTTTAAGGGCGGGTGTTAAATGATGCATGAGTTACCAATAACGTTCTCAATAAGCTTTCCAAGATTTAAGATAGTTTTTTTCATAAATTACTGGTTATACATAATTAGAATAAAAACACTTATTTACGAGGTGAGATAAAATGGACGGTATTTTTAGCACGATGTCAACAGAGACATCCAAACCAAATTTGCGCGTGCCATCTAAAACAGTTCATCATCGAAGTGGGTAATTACATTTAAAATAGTTTTAGTTTTCTTTTAACCTTCAGATTTTAAAATAGTATATTTACAAAAACAGCATATAATATTAAAATTTCAAAAAAATATTCTGTTATTAAATTGTAGTTAGTAGCGTGGAGATCATTCAAATTAGTTACGGGTCATCAAATCATGCGACCCCAACCCGACCCCTAAATACGAGTCGGGTCAATAACCCGGGTTTGATCCGACCCTTTCGGAACACTAATGCTAAGGACAAGATAAAAAAAATGATATTTCGAAAAATATTTTTTTTATTAAAAATAAAAAATTATTCTCTTTGGAGAATCTTTTAATATTATCGTGAGAATTTTTGATATGGAAATAATACACGAAAAAGAACGATGAAATAATGTAAAAAAAAATCATGATAGTTGATATATGTATGGATAATATTATATCTATATTATTACTAGGTCATGATTCTGATACTAAAACGTTGCTTATTTTGTAATAGGCTAAAACATAATTTTCTTAAGGATTATTTTATTTTTGAAAAATCAATACATAAAATATAAGAAATAAACAAATTCATATTAGGTTCATAAAAAACTTAATTATTACATATTTTTGAATTAAAAAAAGTATATAATTATAAATCTATTTCGATGCAAGAAATTGTTTCAAATAATATTCAAGATTTTCTTTGAGTTCCCTAGAAAATTCAACATATATTTCTTGTTGTTGTTCATTATGATTAAATTCAACTCCATGAATATTTTTATTTAAATATTCAACGATTGACGAATGTGGGATTAATACACAAGTGACTTTATAACATTTTTTTTCTTCAGCTTTGAGGAAATAAAATTCGTGTAAATTATTTGATTGAACATGATTTTGAACTGAGTAACTAGTATTATTGTTACTGTCTAAGAGTTCAGATACAAGTTCAAAAGATATTTGTATTTCCCTATAACTAATATCGTAAATTTGATAATCATTTGGTGGTTTGTAAAAGAAATGCGAGATAACATCTTGCGCAATTTGGTGATCTTGGACGAGTTGTCTCGGAATCATTTGTTGTGTGCTAAAATTATCAGATATAATTGCAGTAGTTACGTGAGAAAAGTTCTCATTAGTTGGTTCGTTGGCCATTTTTGAAGAGTGTATGCACAAAATTAAGTGTGAATTTTTTTATATTAGAAAATTATTTTTTATTTTTATTTTTATTTTTTTTAAAAAAAAGACATTCAATTTTTAGCTCTTTTTACATTATTTTCACGCAGATCAACACATAGGATCAGCAGTACTAAATACTGCAATAAGTCAAATGATTATATGTGGAATGTGGGACAGGAATACTTGGATGAAGCAGGTTGTACAAATCATTGAACTTCTTGATTAATAAGCGGTGCGGGGTAATAAATGATTCCGCAATCACGTGATAAAATGACGAGATTTTACGCAGAACAAAGATACAACATTAATTTTTGCATGCTAGTTTTATTATTGTGCGGTTAAACAAGGATTTTTGGTCACATAAATAATCGGACATAGATTGTCTGCAATCTTTTACAAACGAATAATGTTCCAGTATTTTTGTATTAATACTTTAATAAAAAGTTTAAATGTAAATATGATAAAATCATCGATATAACTTTTTCAATGTATCGGATATACGTAAAAAAATCTTTGCGTTATATTTCTATTACGTATTATTATTGTGTAAATCTAGCTAGTGCTTTTTTAATATAAATTCAGCTAGTATTATTTTGTGACGCCCATCATTTGTTTTATGTTTATGTAACACTTATTTATTCATTTTGGCGTTTGTTGTTCATTGGGGATGATTTTATGGATTAACATATTGATTTCTTTCAGTAATTACGTAGTATACAAATTAAGTTTTGTCGCACAAAAAAATTTTAAACAAATTCTATTTTCATTATCTATCAGTATTTTTTTTTCCTAATGAATGTATTTTCTTTTATGAAGACTCTTGTAATTTGAATTATTTATGTAACGCTATTTATACATTGATAAATAAATAAATATTATTTTAATTAAAAAATTAATCATCTGAGTTATATCACTCGTATCGAATCTATAAATTATAGAAATCGCTTCTTGTTACTGTCACGGGATAAATTTATTTTTTATTTTTTATTGTTTTATTTTTTTTATCTATTTTATCTTTTATTTTTATTTTTTATTTTTAATATAGTTATTTTTAGTTATTTTTAGATATTTAGTGATTAGATGACAAACGGAAGCTTAGTGATAGAAAGGTGGCTGAATATAGGTGGCTGTTCGCCACAATTGGGCGGGAGGCAATAATGGCCGAATGGCGATTCTGTTCGAAAAGACAGAATTGTACCAAAATTTTAACATTATAAAAAGGACCGTTGTTGGAAGTTCAGTTAGGACAGTTCTAAGTTTAGTTCAGCTAGAATTCAGTATGAGCATAGTTTTATTATCAACCGATAATATACGGATATTACAGAGCGCCGATAGAGGCAGTAATATCGTATCTTTGTTTAATTGTTAATAAACTGCAGATCTGTTTCCGTATTGTTCATATGCATTTAATTATATTTTTTTTATATACACTGTTTATTATTGTTTATTATCGTTTATTATCGTTCACTATCATTATCATTTATTACATTTGTTGATTTTTGCCATACATCGTTGATTTTTCGTATACATCATTGCTTTTATACACACACCACCCGATCTACCTTTAATTTATCCCATCATTTATTGTCGTCTACAAACGTTTATTATCATTTATTGTAAATGATTACTTATATAATCATGTTCACTAATATATAAATCATCATAACTTTGAACTATAATATTATGTAATTTAAATTCATTTACTTCATCTTTTAAAGAAAACAATTCATCCACATCATCATCAACACCCAATATAGCCAAATATTTAACCCTTTCCTTCTTTATAATATATTTCTTTATACAAAATAAAATATTTCCATCTTCAATAAATATATTTCTAAATAATAATTTCTTAATAAAAGTATTTTGTGAATTTTTTAAAAATATTTCCAAATCACTTTTCATAAAAATAAGAGATAAGCATAAATATTCTAATTTAGAAGGAAGAACCTGACCTAAATTTTGTAACACAGTTGAACTTAATTTATTATAAAGGGTATAATTATCGGAATAATCCACATCAAAAGTAAGATAATTAATACTATTATGTTGATTATTTTCAATGAATAAGTAAATATTATCATAATCAGGCATACCTGATTCAAAATATCCAATCTTTTTACAATATTTTATAATAAATTCAAATAATTTTTGTTTTGGTTCATTATATTCTTCACTTGTATATCCAAATCCAAAATTTTCTAAACAATCACTAAATTTTTGTAATAATAATAGTAATGATTCAATATGTAATATTTCATCCATAAACAAAGATCTCAACTTAAAAGGTTTAATAACCTTAATAATTTGTTGAACAAAATTAAAATTTAAAGAATGACAATAAATAATATGAATAGATTCTAAAACATTCAATTGATTAAAAACTTCTTGTAAATTATTAATTATACTATTAAAATCAACATAACAAAATATAATTGTATTTAAAGTATTTGAACAATTAGAATTTTTTAATGATAAAAATGGTTTGATAGTATATATAAATGAAATTTTTTGAAGATTTTGTTGGGAAATAATTATTTTTGATAAATATTCAATTAATGTAATTAATGTATGATTATCAATTTTATATTTAAAAAATTTAAAAACAATCGATGAGATTGATTTGCAATTAGAACATAAAAATGTCAAAAATGGAATATAATCTTGAATAACTTTAGGAATAAATTCTAAGTATAAATTACTGATATTGTATGTAAGATTTGAATTTTGTAAAATCAAATCCATATTATCCACAAAATATTCATGAACAACACGCAAATTCAGCACAGCTACAAAAGAATTTAAATTTCCTTCATTTTCAATAAACACTTCAAATAATGACCTATAAATTAACTTTCCTAACTCAAAATTGTATTTATCACCTAAAGTACCACCCCAATATTTAATAGAATCACAAATTTTATCTATATCTAAGTATTTAATAAAACTAGGATAATTGAATAATGTATTTGAAATTAATAAATTATCATTAATTTCATATTCATTAAATTTTGCTTTGCTGTCTTCACTAAAAAAGCAAGAATAAGTTTTAATACAATGATAATTTCGAGTAGGAGCTGAAAATGGATCTTCCCACAATAATGGAATTGCTAGACGACACCATAATCTATTAACTAAAATACATGAATATAATGTTGAAAAATCTTTTCTAAGATACTGCATAATTTCTTCTGTTATTTCAGGTAAATCTCCTGGAAATATTTTTGAACATGCCATGTTTGGATTGTTTGGTAAATGAAAAGGGATTGCTTTCATTTTTTCGGAGTTGTACAATTTTTGTACAATTTTTATTTAGTATTCCATAAAAAGACAACAAATAACTTGTAAATCATTCCTATTTCATCCACCTGATCGACAAAAAGTTCTAACCAATAGACTTGAGAAATGATGTATGTTCTTCATTGCTTAAATACATTTACACGGCTTGCTTTGGAAAATTCTAAATGATGCAAACAAAAAAAATAAATGATTTAACTGAAATTATAATTCGGAAAATCTTTAAGGTACTGTTTAAATCAAGATTTGGAAAAATAATTTAAAATTATAATTTACTTAAAATAACAATTTATTGGTACTTTGCATTTAAACTACATATTACGCAAGATTATTATTGTTACTTTAAATAAATAAATTAACTTTAAAGGCAGTCAATATAGATTTTTATGTAATAACTTTGAATTTAGTAAAAAAAAAAAAAAAAATTTACTAAATTCCTATCTATTGGTAGAAAAAAAAGATTATCTTTGTGTAAAATTTCTCATGTATACGATATCTGATTTTCTAAAAATCTAAAGAAAGTTATCTAATCATTTTATTAAAATTCAATTGTATACTAAATGAAAAGTTTGTGTTTGAGACTTTCCTTAAACAAGTAAAATAAACATTTTGTGGTCTTATCACCAGCAGGTTGTTTGTCCCTTCTGATTTCAAGAAAATGATTAACCTTCATACGATAATCTAATTGTTGCAAGTCTGGCTGGTAAAAATTATCTTTATCTCCTTTTTATCTGAATCATCATCCTCCGAATCATCGACTTCCATGTCAATGACATCTAAATTTCCCTTAGGCCACACAAATTCAATTTTTCGGTTCACGTAACATTGAAATTTAAAATCGACCCGGGGACCCAGGGTTTATTGTTTATTAGTAAAAAAAGTTTATATATAAAATCGTGACATTTGATTGGTTGACTTTTAAAAGGGAGGAATTTATTTTCGCTCTAGAAGTTCTCAGCCGCGTGATAAACTTACCCGCCAATAAATTTACGTCCTGATCACGTGATAAATTTTTTATATATAAACTTTTTTTATTGAAATTTGAAAAAGTGACCCGGCCGGGTGAAGTGAACCGAAAATTCGAATTTGTGTGGCCTTATCTTCTTTTTAGACAAATTTATTCTCTTATTACACTTGTTTTTTTACCTCCCTTTGTATAACTTCTTGCCCTCGCTTACACCTAAAATTTTATATATACATAGAGTAGAATTTATTAACTGAAATAAGGCCACCCGTAGGTAAAGATCGTCTACCATTAAGATAAATGTTTCAATTAAACTACACGTGCAATTAGGAAAAAGTAAAAGAAAATGAAGAAGAATGCCTCGGATAAGGGAAATCACATGAAGAATTTTCACTGATAAAAAGAAGAAAATGGGATTAAATCTATAATGTTTTGGAAGTTAATTTGTCTTTGAATCATTTGAAGTACAAGAACCAGAGCGTTAAGAAGTTGCTTGTGGTCCATCGAATATGAGCTTTGATTATCTAAGTAATCTTGGTCGGGAGGTTCTCTAGTATTAGATATAGTGATTTTTTTGAGACATAATTTTTTTCACATGTTTCATTTACAGTCTAAAAAAAATGCATTTGAACTAAAAATGTAAAAGCCGTGAATATAAATGGTTAATTAAATGGCATGAGTTAGACGGATATGACATTGAGGTTGTATTTTCCTCTGATCCAGATGAGTTCATATAGTACTTTTGATGAATTTTTTCAACAACTTATTCAAAGTCGATTACAGGTGTTTCCCCTTCCTATTAATATTATGAAAAGGTCACTGGAAATACCATTTTGTATACTGGATGAATAACCTCGAAGGAAGGTGTAGATGTGAAATGTAATTTTACGTAACGCATCAGTGAGTTCATCCAAAAAGTATGTGTATCCAAAAGGAGAACGAGGAGTTGATATGTGTGCAAGGGACAAAGGCTTATTATGATAGTTGTTCACAATTTAGGTGCAAATAGTAAAAATTTTTACATATTTTGTATTGAAATAATTTCATTGTAAAATATCCCCGTAAGTAGTGAAAAATTAAACTTAGGTAAACGTAAGTTTAAGGATGAAAACTAAATCATGTAATGATATCTGATATGTTTAAATTATCTAATAAACTTACTATATTTCATAAAAAGTGTCATTTGCTTTAGAAAAGATGGTACATTCCCTATGAAAAAAAATTTCTTTAAAATATACTTAAAATGTACTTATATATTTTAAAATATATCTAAAATGTACTTAAAATTTTTAAATGTACTTATAATTAAGGTTGCTTGTCTAAACCTCTTCAAAATC